GAGTTAAAGAATTATCTACATGCTCATTCCTTCTACTCTTTAGATGAATACTTCAATGTAAATAGAGAATGATGTAAAATTAAGTTATATTAATTTTTAAGCTAAAATTGCCTGTACTTATGTATGTAACCTTTTGACTTGTTCTGTATCCAAAGGTACTAACCTGCTTAGGATTTATAGAATGTAAATAAATTCAATTCAATTCAAACCCTACTGGTACTGGTGCGTGCTATCAGCCCCGTTCAGCCAACAAGGTTGGCCGTCAGTACCTGATATTTCCCCCATCTACCAGAGGCACTGGAAACTACTTGGGCAGGAAATTGTTGCCTAATTTTACTCAGAGGTCTCCTAGAGACATGAGGATCTTTTACATGCCGTAAAGCTACGACACGGGACCCATGGCTTAAAGTCCCTCCCAGAGGACTTGTTCCCTGAATTTTTCCACCCTTAAAAATTCCACGACCTCCACCAGGTTTGAACCCGCGTACCTTGAGTCATGAGGTGGGAACGTTACCCTTAGACTACGGAGGAGAGGAAATTACATTTGTGTTCATAGTTCCACATTATCAACTTCTCTTTATGCATGACCCTGAGATCTAGACCAGGATACACAACCATGTGTATGTCCTCAGTGGTCTTCATGGGAACATATTTCAGTGAGGAAAAGTTCTCTGTTTTAATTTCAATAAGTTTAAGAGAAATGAACAGCCCACTGAGCTAATTTCTTGGTCCTTTTTGCCCTAATACATAGACCAACTTATAAGCACAGTGATAGGTTATGCTGTAATCCACAAATCTGACCTCCCTTGTCAGGTAATCTTTGCCCTATGAGCATATAAATATGTTTGACAGGCAGTGTATATGCTGTTTATTTATGTCATATAATATGATATTGAAAACGATATTTATAATGTAGTTAAGCACAATTCATGGGCAAAAATTCTTGATAGAATGACCAGTTTATTTGTAATAACAAACATTAAATTTCTTACATATATCATGAGGATTATTTATGTGTTTATGGAGTTCCTGTCTTGTTTACAAAATGCAGTAAAGGACAGATAAGACAAACATGGTAAATAATCAGCCTGACCTGAAATGACTGGAGGCAGCCACTAATATTGTAATTTTTATAATTGCACTGGAAAGAAGGAAAGTGGCCACAAAGAAGACCTTGGCATAGGGAAGAGGTTAACATTAAATTGCATCATAAAGAAATGGGATGAGAGAGTGTAGACTGGTTTCATCTAGCTTAGGACAAGAACCAGTGGTGGGCTATTGTTAACATTCAGTTTCTATAAAAAAACTGGTGATTTCTTGAGTATCTGATCAACAGTTAACTTGCTAAGAAGGATTAAGCTGCATGGAATTCCTTTACATAATGCCATAAATTGAAGTTTCTATATATCCCATAAACCCTTTTGTGGATATTCTTACAATTCAGTATGGAAGACTGTCACTAGTTTGCATCTCATTATTCTCATTATTAACTTTAATGAACCTCAAGTAACACGTTTGGTACTTGTGTGTTCTGCATTATGGAGTACATCCTTTCCAACCTTATTAAATTACTTTCCACTTACATTCCTTTAATTTTTAGTTTGCAGGATTTTCAGCTGACTCCTTTGCTGAAAGAATGCTGGATGCAAAGTGCAAGGTGTTAATAACAACCGATGGAGTGTGGAGGGGGCCGAAGTTGATCTGTCTGAAGGAAATCTGTGATGCAGGTAGAAACAGTTAAATTATTATTTCAAAGGAACCCCTTATTTTCATCTAATATATTTGACTTCATACACTGTATTTGGCTAAGAGAGAATATCCACAAAATCTTGAATTCTTATTTTCCAAAAGCAGAGTTTGGAAACTTTATGCAACCTTAAGATCTGTACTGATTTTCAAAATAAACTCTTTGTGCCAGTAGATCATATGCTTGATATCCCTCGCTGTGGGAATCTCAAATCTCTTATTTCTGCAAGATTTGAAGTTTTCACAGTGGTGGCTATGAAAAGTTCTGTCTTCTGGGATATAAGGCTAACCAGTCTCTTGGAAGTCAACCAGTGTTTCAGAGGAACATGTCACCTCTGCTTGATACCTGCTTCATACTGGTTTCATGTTTCACTTATTCTTTGATCCTGAAGATGGAAACAACTTGTTCCTGTAAAGTATCAGTTGTCTTTGAACAGACTGCATGGCATAATATCCCAGAAGATAGAATTCTCTTATTCTGTGTTCTTAAATGTGATCTCTGTCATTGAATATGTGTAATGAGTTTCCAGAATATTTTCTTTGTCAAGGGCACTGAATTATTGTTCTCTTTTATTGTAGCTATGGAACGGTGCAAAAACCTGGGACATGAAGTAAAGAATTGCATAATTGTTGAACATTTACCTAGACTGAGTGTTTCTCAAAACAGAAATGGAACCACTAAGGAAAATGGAGACACATCACCCGAAAAGAATAAGGTATTTGATAACAAGGTCACTGTTAGATACAGCTTACAAATTGATCTGAAATTCATAGCTTTAACCCAGGGATGTCCAACTTCAAATCATCAAAGAGCCAAACTGCGTCTTGGGTACCTACCTGCACATTGCATTATTAAAAATACATTCTTTCTGTGACACCATAACACTGTCTTTAACCCAAATGTTGAGGCAGTGTGATGTGATTGAGCATGTATAGAGTCTGTGAGACAGTGTTGCCAGGTCAGCAGTGTTTAAGAATTAGCCCCCGAAGGTTTGCTAGATTGTACAGATATTGTGTACAGACTTGGAGCCATACTAATTCCATTCTTTCCTAAGTTATATACTAAGTGTCATGTGAAGGCTGTGCCATAGCTCAAGCAGTTAGTTGCTGGCTTCCCACCGCGGTGGCCCAGGTTCAAACTCGGGTCTGGTCAAGTGGGATTTGTGGTGGACAAAATGGCGCTGGGGTAGGTTTTCTCTGAGTACTTCGGTTTCCGCTGCCAATCTTCAGTCCACCAAATGCTCCATCATCATAATCACCCGGGGCAGGTACAATAGGCCAATCAGTGGCCACCATGCGGAGTGGACCCAACTGGACTCCACCCCCCACTATGCAAAAATGTGTCATGTGAAAGTAGATGTTACGGGGAATATTAAGTGAGTACTTTTAATGAAGTCTTCTCAGAAAGATTTGCCCCCTCTGTTTGAAGAGAAAGAGATAATTAACACTCATTTTTGGGGATGGAATAGTATTATCATAGGCTGCATAAAGTCAGTTGGTGAGTCATGAGTTGGACAGCCATTCTTTAATATAATATAATATATATTTCAAGTGTTTTAGTGAGGTCTATAAAAGAATAAAATTACTTGTTTCAAATACAAAAATTGGTATTTACAAACAGCTTAACTGAGTGACATTTAATTTAACTTAATTGTGTATTACAAATAAAAATTAAATTAAAATGAGCAACAGTTTCAAGTTATGTGATCGCTCTTGGAAACGAAAGTATCTCATGAGCTCAAGGATACATGGTTTCTTGACAGATCCTTAAAATTATTCTTGTGTTGTCAGATCCCATGGACAGAAGGAAGAGATTTCTGGTGGCATGAGGAGATGGAAGATGCATCCACATCCTGTTATCCTGTTTGGGTTGGAGCTGAAGACCCTCTTTTTATGCTTTACACCAGGTACATAAAAAACATTGAAATGTCAAACTATACTCAGAATATATAATATTTACAGTCCAGCAAACTGTATGCATATGTTCTTCCAAAACACTAGACCATGGACAGTGGGGATGTAGTGCATCTAAGAAGAATGTGGCCACTGCTCCAACCCATAGACCAACAACAATCTCATTTTTGCTGCCATGATGTGGGCCTCTAGCATCATCTATATTTCATATGGATATCTTTGTTGCAGTGGATCCACTGGCAAGCCAAAAGGAGTTCTCCATACAGTAGCTGGTTACTTACTGTATGCTGCTACCACATTTAAGTATGTATTCGACTATCGACCTGGTGATGTTTACTGGTGTACAGCTGATGTTGGGTGGATCACTGGCCACACGTATGTTGTGTATGGCCCACTTGCAAATGGAGCGACATCAGTATTAGTAAGAAATATATCTCATTACATACCATTAATCTGAAACTTTCACTGCAGTCAGCTGTGTAGATATGAAATTAATGTCCATCTCCATCATCAGGTGCTGATCAGATGTCAGACACAGTTCCATATTGACGTGGTTGATCATCTGAAATCACTTCACTGAATATGTATTTTATTTATATTTTCTAATACATATACAAGGGTTGGAAATTTAACTGTGACAATTATTTATTTTCAACTGATACAAAATAGATGCATGTTTCGAAGTTTTACTGTTCTTCAGTGTAGTTACCAGCATTGTGTACAACCCACTGCCAGCAATGTGGATGTCGTAGGATACCTTTAGCAGCACCTGTTGTGTTGATAGTTCAAATGGAGCAGTCCACTGCCTGAAGAATCTCTGGAAAACCACGAAGTGGTTCCTTCATCTTAGGAATCAAGTCAAAGTCACAAGGGCTTAAGTCCGGGGAGTATGATGATGGCACAGCACTTCCCAGTCCCATCGATCAAACAAATCAGCCACAGCTTGTGCCGCATGCAGCCGAGCATTGTCCTGCAAAATGATGGGTGGGTTCTGCAGAAAGTGTCACCAATTCTTTCTCAAAGCTGGTCGCAGGTTGTGTTCCAAAAATTAACAGTAATACTGCACATTGACGGTCTGCTGTTGGGGAATGGTATGCGTTAGGATAACGCCATCACAGTCATACACGAGAATCACCATAACTTTCACATTACTGGGGTTCTGACAAACTTTTGGTTTTCCTGGTGACCCGTAATGACACCATTTGTTTGATTAGCGTTTCATTTGTGGCTCATACGATTTGACCCATGTCTCATCCAGCGTGATGATACAGCGTAAGAATGCGTCTCCTTCGCGCTCATAGCGCTCCAAGTGGTTACGTATTGTAACCATTTCTGCATTTCCGTCGATTCATGCAGAACCCATCATGATGCAATTTTTCTCATGCCCAGTCGTGCCTTCAGAATGTGAAGCACAGTCATATGCGCTAATCCTGTCTCTCGGGCCAGCTCACAAATTGTACGGCATTGATAGCTCTCCAGTAATGCAGAAAGAGCATACATTTCTTCTTCACTGACACTAGGATGACCTGGCCCACACACGTCTGCCACATTCTGGCGTCCCTTGTTGAAGGCTTTTACCCACCTTGCCACTGTTCTGTAAGGCAATGCAGATTCCCCGCAAGCCTCTTGAAGACCTTGATGACACTGTCGTGCTGTACGGCCTCTGGCACATTCAATCTTTATCCAACTCCGCTGTTCCTATTTCGAAAACATCGTAACAACACTACATTAGACCGCCAGCTAACACGAGGCTCTGTTCTTCTCGTCACTGCTCATGCGCGTGATGTGGGAAGGGAGAGTCCATTTGCTCTGAGATAAGGTAGATATGTAACTAAGGTGTGGTATAAGCGACATTATTTGGTTCCGTTGCATGGTGTCTCTACAGCAGTGTTGCCACTATTAAAGTTCCAACCCTCATATATAAATAAAGAAAAGCATAGAAACTTTAATTGACGCTAGTAAGAAGGTTGGTCTAGAAGTAAACACAGAGAAAACTATGTATATGTTGCTGTCTCATCACCAGAATGCAAGGCAACGTCATGACATAAAGATGTTTTGAAAATGTGGCACAGTTCAGATATTTGGGAATGACAGTAGCAAATCAAAATTTGATTCAGGAGGAAATTAAGAAGAGACTGAATTCAGGTAATACACTGTCAATAGTGAATATTTTCATACATAATTTGTACAGGAACAAATTCTATCATATTCAACGTAAAATCCAGCTTTCAAGACCAGTATGTGTTTCTTATCTTATTTTTCTCTGATACTGAAATCAAAAGAATTTCATATGCAATGTCTGAAATTTTAGTAAAAAAAAAGTAAAAATATCGCATTAAGAGGAGAAACTGTTTTGGAAGAGACTGTGGACCTGTCGTCTGACAGATTACTGATGAATGAATGAATCCCTGTAACAGGCCATGGAGGCCCATAGGGTTGTGAGAAGTTGAGGCTCCCACATTTTATAGACAATCTGCTCACAGATGGCGGTGAGGTTGTCAGCCTTATGCTGGCTGCCCTTTACCCCCAGGAAGATTCCTGGTACTCATTTCTGTTAGAGGCTGTGTCGATCCCAGGGCCATAGTGCCGCTGGAAGGATTAGGTAAATTGAAAAAATCCACCTCATCGGTATTCGATCCCATGACCTTTCAGTTTGTAGCACAGTGCCTCATCCAACTACACTACCCCGTGTCCCCTTGAAATTTTAGTTTCTTTTCAAAAATGAGAAAGAAGTATGTGATCTGTCTCTGGTTTCCTTTTCATAACTTTATAATTTGTAACTTTTTAGAAAACTATCAAGACATATGGTAAGATGAATGCAGTGCTGCAAGTTCAAGGGAACTTAAGAAGAAGAATATTTAAAATGAAGGATATACAAATTTCAAACCATGTTCTGAGTTTCTTTGGAACGTAGACATGCTGTGGTTGAAATATGTTTTCCTTTTTTTCTATTATAGTTTGAAGGCACTCCTTTCTACCCTGGTAACAGCAGATATTGGGAGGTAGTCGACAAATATAGAGTGAATAAATTCTACACGGCTCCTACGGCACTCAGAGCACTAATGAAATTTGGAGATGGACCTGTAAAGAAGTAAGCCATGTAGAAAATGTGAGCAGAAAAGAAAGTTAAAGAGATGGTACATTGTTCAAGAACATATATGTTAAAAATTGAGGCACAGTGGTTTATTACATGTACAGTGGAACCCTCCATTTTATATTCCTCGATTTATTTTTTCCCTCTTCGAACATTTAATTTCAGTGATCCAACTCAGTAGTCTCAGAACTAAATTTCCTACATTTAATATTTTCCTCAGAGTTCATATCCATAGCTACTGCTTCCCAGAGGACCTTAATGGAAGTTTCACTGCATATTTATTATCATAGTATTTTGGTTAGTTAGTTAGTTAGTTAGTTATTAGAGAGGGTGGGTTTCCCCATGCACTTAGACCTGTAGTGGTCCATTGTGCTTCCCTCTATGATTTCTACTAGCCTCTATATCCTACCGGTACTGGTGCTTACCATCAGTCCCACCCAGCCAGCGAGACCGGCTCTACTAGCTGAGAGGTATCTATAATGCTGTTGCTGTTGCTGCTGTTGGGCAGCAAACATCCGCAATTTTGCTCAGTGACCTCCTTTGGAGGTATGAGGTTCTTTTGCATGCCGTAAAGCTACAACACGGGACCCACGGCTTAAAGTCCCTCCCGGAGGACTTGTTCCCTGAATTTTTCCGCCCTTAAAAATTCGACGACCTCCGCCGGGTATTTGAACCCGCGTACTATGAGTCATGAGGTGGGAACGTTACCTCTAGACTACGGAGGCCGCTTGGTATTTTGGTTTGTAGCGGCAACAAATAGAACGCCGACCATGTTGACATAGTTGTAACACCCTAGACTCGCATTCAAGATGTGCTCAGCTTGGATCATGGCCAGAATGTTTGCTATCCAAACTGAGGATTTTCCTAGTTTTCCTCCAGTCCCTCCAGATAGCTACTGAGATAGTACCTTGATTAGGTCAAGAATACTTCCTTCCAATCTTTTCCAATTCATTGGTCATCTTATCACTTGATGCTGTAGATACTGATAGTATCACAAGAGAACATTGAACTTAACCTAGTTCATTAATTACTGTTAGTCAGAATCTCTGCAACATTGAGCGATAACCTAACAGTTAAGAAATTAATTTTATATTCACAGAATATAAATTTCTCTTCTCTCCTTTCCATGAATATGTTCATCTCAAATTGTATCCCAGAATTCATATTCTCTCTGTCTTAACAGGCACAGTTTGAGCACATTACAAGTACTTGGATCAGTAGGCGAACCCATAAATCCGGAGGCATGGCTTTGGTACTACGTAGTTATTGGACATGAGAAGTGTTCCATTGTAGACACGTACTGGCAAACAGAGACTGGAGGACACCTATTAACACCCTTACCTGGATGCACACCTATGAAACCAGGCTCAGCGGTATGTAACATTAAAATCCTTCTATATAACAAAATTTGTTAATTTGTCTTCATCAGTATTCCAGAAATATCAGGGATATAAATATGAGTAGATGCAAGTAGATGCCATCTTCTTCATTCCAGAGTGCTTCATTTTGAGGAAGCTATTTCCAGGGCCTTAAGATGCCACGACTGTCATTCATAACAGCAATAAATTAAGGAACACATTCAAAAGGTAACATTGTAATAATGTCCTTTTGATACAGAATGTCCGGATGAAAGGAATCCAAAATAAAATCACTATATCTCAGAAAGAATTTATTATACACATTAATGGGTTACACCGTTACAAAGGGAGACTATCAAAGTTTTTTATGCATATATAACTTTCTCAGTAAATTTACATGTGAGCTCCACAGGTAGCATGACAAATATCCATACTTGAAGCATGTTTGGTGTAACTGTAGCCACAGCGTCCCTTATGAGGGCTTTCAGCTGTTGAAGGTCGTTGATCTTAACCTAGTAGACAATGTTCTTCACATAACCCCACAAGAAAAAATCCCCTGGGGTTAAATCTGGCGACCTAGGAGGCCAAGCAGTTGGTCCACCACTGCCAATTCATATCCCAGTCATCTCTCTGTCCAGGTGATTCCTAACATGGTAGCAAAAATGTGGCGGTGTATGCGCGTAAGCCGGGTATGAAAAAGAACTTTCAGAGTTTTTCTTTCCCTAACATAAACCGGATAAGTGTATGACGATTAGTTTCTGAGATATACATTTTTTTATCTTGGATACCTTCTGTCTGCACATCCTATATGTGTCAGTCATTCCTCTGAGCTTTGCTAATGATCCTGATCATCTACCAAGTTCTAAAAAGTCATTTCCACCCCTGTGAAATATGCTCATCCACCTGCCACAGGCAAGTTGAATAAGCCAGAGCGAAGTAAATTTTTAATCTCAGTATAAATATATCAAAAATGTAGCAACATTTATTATTATGAATAAAGAAATTATATAAAGTGAAATAATTTATTAAGGTCTGAGCCTTCTGGGAAGTGCTACCATGTAGTTTGGTACATAGGTACGAACGTCTGAAAGGACTACCATCAAACTGGAAGGACCTGTTCCTGAAAATGTTGATACCTGTCTACCAAAGTATACAGCATCACATCACAGAAGACCATAATCTTGGTACTTATTCCTGTATGAATAATGTATTACTTTTATCCCTTGAACAGAGTTCATAAATACCTCCTATCAAATATTTGTGTGATGCATACATTGAGATTGTGAGGGTGAATGGATTTTGTTAATTGACTAGTAACTTTAAGTTAAAAATCTTGATTTTTTCCATTTGTGTTAATTACATATACTTCAGAGGACCCTGTATCTGAGATATTTGTCCATATTTCAATCTACATGACAAGTCTCACGTCCATATATACCATTCCTCATTCTCTGAAGGAATGATATTTCAGATTGTTATCTTCTAGGTTATGGTACTATATAGTATCATAACTACCCATATTTTAGAGGAACCACATGGACCTTCCCATAAAGGGGCCCCTTTCCCTTTCAGATCTACAGCATCAAGAAGAAAGAGTCTTTCTCTTTTTCTTCATTACCATCTTCTTCTTTCCCCGTTGTTCTTTTTCTTATTATCCTTTTTCTTCTCAATCTTATGGAGCAGTTTGGCTCAGGCAGTAACATATCTGACTGTATTACAGAGATTTCCATTTTAAATTTCAACTGAGGCACCAGGTATCCTGACTGAGGCATTTTGGTGGATTTTTTGCAAAACTGTGCAAGCAGTTTCTGAATTGGCTATTAGGAACTTACTCCTTTCTGTAGTGCTAGATAGGATCTCTCTTCCCTCCCCCTCACTAGTTCTTATCCACCAATCCTCTAGCTTACTCTAGCCCAGTTCCCACACTTCTTCACATAACCTAACTTACCCACATCTCAGCTTGACCCACCTCTAACCTGAGAAAGGAATCAGCCATCAACAAAGGCCAGAATTTAAACATACACCACACTGAAAACCTCATATTTCATGACATTTCAAATTTCCTATGCCTCACACATTTCCCTGAGGTTGGATACTCAACACTTCTGACACCTGAAAACATTGCCCTTTTTCAGACATTTCCCTTCTTTGGTGTAGTTCCTGTATTACTGGATGAGAATGGTAAAGAAATTCGTGGACCTGGAGAAGGGTATTTGGCATTCAAAAGACCATGGCCTGGAATAATGAGGACCCTGTTTGGAAATCATGAGAGATTCGAAACCACATACTTCAAGAAATTTCCTGGATGTTACTGCACAGGAGATGGTAAGAAATGAAGACTCCATTCCCATCTGTGATGGAATATAAGTAATAGTGCATAAGACACAAGGTGCAACATGGCACATACAAGACAGACTGATGAGAGTGAGTCCATAGATTTTCTACAGTTTTTATACAGATATTCGTGATACAGTAAACTCCCTCTTATCCAGTATTCAGGAATCCAGAATTCTCACACAGCAGCCAAAAGTTAAAAAAAAAAAAGAAAAACACGTAATAAAGCCAATCTTCTGAACTACAACCCATTATTTTCGTCATGCATACCACTCTGCATGTGACAGCATATATCTTAGTAAGTCAATGCAATGTCTCATTGGAATACTCACTAACAGGAACTAGCAGCTATATTTAAATAGCAGTAAGGCCCTACTTTATCAGCATTACGAAGGGGGACCCAAAAATAACCGGAAACAACCTGTTGCACGCGCATGCTTTGTAGTTACGGGTTGTGCTGCTAGGTGGTGTTAGCTGGGGGTCTCCCACGACTGTTAGTGAGCTGGCGTCAGTCTGAGTTAAGTGGTTTGTCTGTGGTGCTCTGTTGTGTGCGTTCCTGTTTCAACCCTTTGGCGATTAGTGAGATGGCCGACCAGAAGGAACAAAGAGTGTGCGTGAAATTTTGCTTTCTGTTAGGGAAAACTGCACTTCACTCTTCAAGTCGCGGCAAACATTCACGCGGTTTTCTCTTTGGTCATCTCCGAGCAAGCGAGGAACAAATTTTGCAGACACCCGTCTCATGTGCAAACCTTCGGTTAAAATTCGCTGGACCGTGCTCCATGAGATGTTCGTTTCCTCAGAAAGTTGGTCAATAATCTTTTGACGCTCTTCATCAATTTCACGCACACTCTTTGTTCCTTCTGGTCGGCCATCTCACTAATCGCCAAAGGGTTGAAACAGGAACGCACACAACAGAGCACCACAGACAAACCACTTAACTCAGACTGACGCCAGCTCACTAACAGTCGTGGGAGACCCCCAGCTAACACCACCTAGCAGCACAACTCGTAACTACAAAGCATGCGCGCGCAACAGGTCGTTTCCGGTTATTTTTGGGTCCCCCCTCGTATCTTAATTTTAGATCTTGTAGATTATATGCAGATAAATAAAATGTATTGCTTGGTTAAGGAAACCTCAGAAGAATGTGGGGCTGCCACATATTGATGAAGCCACAAATAACAGCATAATTCAAGCATGAACTTTGAAATATCTCAGAGATGTTGTAGACTTTTTGGACATAGTACCTGCCACATTTCAGAGACAATATTGGTGTAAAAAGGTGAAACTATCCCTGGAACAGGCCATGGAGGCCCATAGGATTGTGAGATGTCAAGGCTCCCACATTTTTGAGACAGTCGGGTCACAGATGACAGTAAGGTTGTCAGCCTTACGCACCAGCCGCACTTTACCCCCAGGAAGGTTCCTGGTACTCATTCCTGTTAGAGGCTGAGTCGACCCCAGGGCCATAGTGCAGCTGGAAGGGTTAGGTCAATTAAAAAAAATCCACCTCATCGGGATTCCAATCCGCAACCTTCCTACTTGTAGCATAGGGCCTCAACCAACTGCGCTACCACGTGCCCCAAACATTGATGTACAGAGGGTTAATTACAGTCTTACAATTTGCAGGCGCACGCAGAGATGAAGATGGCTACTTCTGGATAACTGGTCGTGTTGATGACATGCTGAATGTATCAGGACATTTGCTGAGCACTGCTGAAGTGGAAGCCACACTTTCAGCACATCCGAATGTAGCAGAGGCTGCTGTTGTTTCACACGGTCATCCAATCAAAGGAGAATGCTTGTATTGTTTTGTCACACCAAATGAGGGTGTGAAGTTCTCAAAGGAACTGACAGATGAACTTAAGAAGAAAGGTAAAAACTTGCAATCTAAGCAATGGTTCTGATCTTACAATTCTCAAAAAGATAAAACTACTTCAGTAAGTTTATACTAGTAATATTATGCATGAGACTGTATTCACCTGGGTCAGGATAGGGTTCGGTGGCAGTTATTTTATTTATTGACTGGGTCCACAACTATCAGTTCCTCAAGAAGGATTCCCCTCCATACAGCCATTTAACAGTTCCCAAAAATGAATTATTAATGTCACATAATATTTATAATTAATTAATTCCAAGGGACAAAGTGTATGTAGAGAAGTTAATACTTTCTCAGCCAGCGAAGAAATTTCCCTATCCTGAGCCAGATGAATCTAGTTCACACCCTCCCATTCTGTTTAAGATATATTTTGATATTATCTCCTCACTACGCCTTATCTTCCTAATGTTCTTTTTTCTTCAGGGTTTCCTACCAAACTTTGTATCCATTTCTCTTCTCTACCGTTCATGCTACACACTCCACATATTTCAGCCTTGATTTGAATGTTCTAATAATATCTTGCAAAGAGCACAAATAATGAAGCTCTTCAGCGCCATGTTTTCAAACACCCTCGGTCTGTAGGAGCTTCCTCTAAACTGTCTACTGGACTATACAGTGCCACATCCCAGATGACAGTAATCTTAATTGTACCATTCTCATTATGTTTGACTTTAAAAATTCTTCATTTGAAACCACAATATTTTCATTCCCATATGAACTGGTTCTATCCTGTACATGTTGCATCTTCATCTGTACCATTAACGCAGACACAGAACAGTCTGGCATAGCAATAATGCCCTAAATTTATACTCTTGAGGTGCTTACTTAAAATCTTGGCTTGGGCATTGGCTATCTTTACTGAGCTTTTTCATAGTTTTCTTCAGTCCCTCCAGGCAAATGCCAGATATTATCTGATTTAAGTCTCAACTACTTCACCATGAGTCCTTTTTAATTCTTCATTCATTGGAAACCCATCATATATCACTACACAAATTTAGCCTAGCTACTGATTGCAGTCTAAAAATCACCTACAAAAATAATTAGCACAAGCTATTACTTATTGCACCAATCACAGTGGCTGCACAGTCTATGGCATGAAATGTCTTTGCCAACTTGAACACTGGGATCATGAGTTCAAATCCCACTCAAGGCATGGATGTCTGCATTTATTCTGTGTTTGTTGTCCTGTGTAGGTAGTGGCCTTGCAATGAGCTGATCCCCCATCCAAGGACCGACTGTCTAAGATTAAGAAACTGAATTGAAACAAAGAATTTCATGGATGCCATGTGCTCCAAGTGGGAGCAACAGGAATAGAAAAAGAAGGTGATTGCTCATCAGTATTTCTCATATAATTGTGCATCTCATTACAGTTCGTGAAAAGATTGGACCATTTGCCACCCCAGAAGTAATTCAGCATGCTCCTGGTCTTCCTAAAACAAGATCAGGTAAAATAATGAGAAGAATACTCCGCAAGGTAGCTCAAAACGATCGTAATATTGGAGACATCTCTACATTAGCCGATGAAGGCATCATTGAGGTGTTGTTCCAAAACAGGATAGAAATTAAAGCTTAAAGCAAAAGAAATATAAGAATAAACAGAACGAAGTTACTCATGACAAAACAGTATTCTGTAGATATTTATAATTGTTATGTAGTATGTACTTGAAATACATGTGTGTGTTCAGAATGACAAGGTGCTGCATAACATTGTTACAGGAAAATTAGACTAAGATGGCTGGAATTTTAGAACTGGAAATTGTAAATTATAATTCCAATGTCTTTAAGTCTTAGGTAGGAAGTTATGCTTATCTGTACACAAAAATTTAAGTTGTGCAACAAAATTTTTCCCTGTGCTTAACTAATTAGGCACGATGCCATGAAGGCATATGGGAGAGTGGATGTATAGACCGGGTTTTCTTGACGTCGGCACTAGCTGGAGATGAGTGGTCAGCTTCACACTCCTGACGCTTTGCACCCGGGGAAAGGGCCCCTGTTACATATCGGACAGTGAGGCTGGGTGGATAATTATAAGTAGCAAAATTATTATTTTTCTTGTTGTGATTAATCTACAGACAGTGTAATTTGCACCACTCATATAATGAAATGTTGAACAATGTATTCGGAAAAATTCTCTGAATGTGTCCAGTAGTTTAAATAAAGAACATATAATGATTGAAGCATGATTATATGTAATATGTTACTAATGTTATATTTTAGCGTCCTGTTGCACTGATTTAAGTCCATGATTTATTTTATCCGTCTTCTAGTGCATACATTTATTTATCCTCTCCTTTCACTCTCACTACATGTTTCGGCATCAATGTGCCATCTTCAGGTGCTGATCCAATCCACGACAAACTAATTCATTGCATGCCTTGTCTTTACATACTAAAATAACTAAAATATATATTTATCATATATACTGACAAATGTCAAGTGTTAAAATACTAAAACTGTACAGCATATTTCTTTCCTACGTCGTGTTTCATTACGCGAGTTAGGAAAGAAATATGCTGTACAGTTTTAGTATTTTAACACTTGACATTTGTCAGTATATATGATAAATATATATTTTAGTTATTTTAGTATGTAAAGACAAGGCATGCAATGAATTAGTTTGTCGTGGATTGGATCAGCACCTGAAGATGGCACATTGATGCCGAAACATGTAGTGAGAGTGAAAGGAGNAGATGAGGAAATGGCTCAGTTATATAGGAGATTTCTATGAAGTTGGTCTGTTGGTTACTTCCTTTGCTTACTCTTCAGCCCTGAAGATGGAAACAATATATTTCTCCATAATGTCAGCCTTCCATTGAGCTAAGCTGTGTTACAGCCCAGAAGACCATACTTTTCACAGTCACTGATGTGAAGACCTCAAATCAAACAAAGCAAAATTAAATTTTGAAAAAGTTCAACAAAATAAATTAGCATTCTATGATGAGGTAAAATAATTATGAGCAATAATATATAATTTTGCTACATAGCTGAGTCATAATGTTGCTTTACAGTACTGTGTTGCAACTGTCTATGTGCTAGTGTAGTTTGTTGTAGCTGAACACTTGCATGCAGGCATGCATTAACATATACATATCATCGCTTCAGGAAAATGATTGGATGGTTCAGCCTTTACGGATATTGTTTTAGAATATGTACATACATTTCAATAGGAAAATCAAAGATTATGTAAGAATTATGAATACAGCTTATATTTTAATAAAACATTATGTGAAAATTTCCTGTGAAATTTCATCAATAATTATTTGTTTCTATTTGAAAGAATCAATGTGATATCTGTTACTTTAAAGTGGGGAATATCCACGTCCAATAGATTTTTAGTCATTACATCCACTGTCTTTTCAACTTGGAATATGGCAATAAATTTATGAACTGTAAGAATAATATCATGCATTGTTGTATGTACTATATTTTTCTTTTGTAGCTTAGATTCTTGTGGTACTTATGTTGTAGTTAACAAATGCAAATAAATCAACAGAATTTGTGGCAGGGGGTAGTTTATTTTATTAATCCCAATTATCCCATTTCAACACTCGCCAGAATGTTTTCTGGTCTCATCAGCCAAGCCATCACAAATGATACTAGGATCGCTCCCACCTCACAAACTTCCACCTCCTCCATGCCGTTATTACAGTAGAGAAAGAAGTACCTTGCTGGACTCAGCTTTAATGTTATGAAGTTGAAATGAAATTTTGTGAAAATAGAACTATTTCACAGAAAGCTGGAACTGGAAGATTAAAAGACAAGCACAACCTATGAGTGTTTCCCCACGAAATATTACACCCCTACATGTGAGGAGTAGGTATATACTGACATGATGGTATCTCGTTAACTGTCATGTAACACTTTTATGTTAATATGAGGTGCTATCAGAAAGTTCCCAGACTGTTATTATTGTAACTGCTTCGGTGAAAGATGATGAGAGGGGAGGCCAAGATCACACTTCTGCAAGACTATTGCATCAGTCTGCTACATGACACTGTGCTGTAAACACGCATTGTTTTTACATGAGTGCTTTTTCGTCTCTGTGTCTTATTTTGCCTGCGATGGATGGCAAAATCGAGCAGTGTGTCTGCATCAAGTTCTGGGCGAAGCTTGGTAAATCTACTACTAAATGCTTGAAATGCTTTGTGAGGCTTTTAGAGAACAATTCTTTAAGCCAGACAGCAGTTTTTAATGACATTCACGTTTCAAGGCCATTCAAGTGTCAGTTGAAGATTATGAATGTTCAGGGTGACCAAGCACCAGCAAAACGATAAAACATAAAATTTAAATTATGAAACAATTGGACATACTCATAGGAACAAAATAAATTACTCTTAATTATCTCTTGACTAATGTGAAAAATGTAAGACTGTGCTACTCTGCCCATGACAGTGCAATTCTAAGCACCTCCAAATTAACATAGGTTCTTACAATTTGTTGTAATTCTGGGTGAGACGCTAAGTGACAATTTCAAACAAGGTATTCTCTGTAAGATTTGAGGCTTTCACGGCGGTGACTATGAAGAAAGCAGTCTTCTGGGATTTGGCACCGTGTATATGTGGTGTTAACCGACGTTTCGGAGGAACGTATCGCCTCCATCTTCAAGAGACCGTGAAAACCGGTAAAAGCTTTTACCGGTTCTCACAGTCTCTTCGCTTGCAGATTTCTTATATTTTTTCTTCTACCCTGAAGATAGAGGCGATATGTTCCTCCGAAACGTCGGTTAACACCACATATACACGGTGCCAAATCCCAGAAGACTGCTTTCTTCAAGGTATTCTCTGATGTATGTGAGTGAATTTGTTTCCAAAAAGTTGATGAATCATACAAAAGTAGGAAATCTCAGAGATTAAAAAGGCCCTGTGCCTTACAGAATTTTGATAGCTTTGAAAAATACCAAAGATTCTACAGAATGCTATTTCGAAAGTGAGGAAGTTTCCAAGAATGTTGGAAATTAGAACATTTTTTTCTGAATTTGTAGGTTTGGAAATATCTAAAAGCTTTAAAGGATTGCAAATGGTTGACCATGTTTCATTTGAAGTGGATGCATAGTGATCTATTGCACCAATGAACTTAACCTAAAATAACGGGCTGTGACCGAGATGCGTCCTAACGCGTAGTGATCTGGGGAACTGAACAAAATTGGTATCGCACCCACCACACAGGTGGGTGCTTCCAGCAGGTCATCATTATCTATTGTAAGGTAATAAAAAAACTGACTTGTGTTGTGTTCTGTGGCATGACATTCTTGCAGGAGTTTGAGGAAATCAGTGAATTGTTTGGCACATTGAAGTGGGAATACATACATACACACACACACACACACACACCAGCGTTGGCTTCTCAGCATTAACATCTTGCAAACCTGCTTGGCTCTTTTTTAAATATATAATATATTTTAATGTTGTTCAGTATAGAGAAGTGGTCCATACAGGCACTGTAACTGGCCATTGGCCAGTGTGCTTGTCCCAGGCAATATACAGTCCATTGCTTCCAGGCAGTTAAAAATATTTAAATACAGATGGTACTCATATTGGAGAACACATTCATATTATTGCGGCAAGTCTAATCTAATGTTATATATTTGTGTGAAACATATAATGCATAGGGGCACACGGTAGCGTAGTTGGTTGAGGCACTATGTTACAAGATGGAAGGTTCTGCGTTAGATTCCAGATGAGAACATTGGATTTTTCAATTGACCTAATCCTTTCAGCCATGCTATGACCCTAGTTATGACTCTGGTGCATAAGGCTGAAAACCTCACCACCATCTGTGCGTTGATTGTCTAGAAAATGTGGGAATCTACATCTGTTACATGGATATTTTTAAAAAAGATATAATCTGTACATTGTGTGTTTCAGTGGGTGTGAGTTGAATGATTTGATATAAAGCTGCTCTTCACTGAAATCCACATTCTTCCAAACAGCATTATGGGTCCACTTACTGGAGTACCTATTATATACTCTTGTGTTCCACTCAGCTGTTTCTCTGTTCACGTGATGTGTTCTTCCTATAGAAGGTCATCTCTGGGTATACCCGTATCTTTGTACATTGTGATACTGTACTTCTTCCCACTTAAGGGAAGCATAATCTTTACTTAACAATCACAGACAGCACAGTGACATGACAACTGCGCAAATACCTACAAAGAAGGATGAATCCACCCTCCATGTCATCAGCAACACATGCTAAATACCAAGTGCAATAACTGTAGTGACAGCCAACAGGGATGCTTTCATTATAGTAATCATGTCATTTTCACAAATTTAACAGTTTAAGGTTGATCCTATATTTAATTTTAATTTCTGCTTCCCTTATTATTATTATTATTATTATTATTATTATTAT